GCCTGAAGGTCAACGTTTGTTAAATGTTAAGTCCGGACATACCTAAACGGGTTAGCTGAGTTCTAGAAGTTTAAAAAATATCATCCACACAGCTTTTGTTTTGCTGAAGAGACCTCTGAGGGTGCTTGGAAAGGCCAGCTCCGAAGCAAGCCGGCAGGTTACTACTGTACACACTGGCAGCAAGTCCTCGCAGGAGGGATTAGGATCCTGACAGCTGCAGCTTCCAAGCCTCGGGGGTACGGCAATGAGGCTGGAATGCACGTAAATAAGGGGGCTGGAGAATAGGAATATTCCCTGTGTCTCACAAACAGAGCTAGAGCCAGTGAGTGAACATAAACCATTGCTACAAGCGATTGAAGACTATTTGAGCAGAGTGACCCCTTTTTTAACTTCGATGCCAAGAGTTATTTAGGACTCCACAGCTATGACGTCCAGTGGGACGGAGGCTGCGTACTTTTTCTGTCACATGTCTGGATGTGAGCATCATTTTTAGAATCAGACAGCCGCACCAGAAAGTTAGAGAATGTGTGCAGTAGCACTCTGGGCACAGGCATCAAACTGTAATTCCTTCCGACTAGGACTGAAGCGGAAGGCTGAGGGTGTCTGTTACCCGAACAGTTGCACGTGCACATGCATGGCTGCATCTCAGAGCACGTATAAATCTCCCTGGTCACTCAGAATGTCCTTAATAAGAAGTTACTATAGGTAACAAAATCGAGCAATATTGTAAAGTTAAATAAACTTAGAGGAGTGTAGGTACAGCTTCTAAGAAATACTTTATACCAAGTTGGCTTGAGGTCACGTGAATGTATTGGATGGGACTAGCAGTCTGGGAGCCTAATTTTAAATTTGCTTGGGATTTGAGGTATTTACTTAATGTGTTTCTTGGCTTCCTCATCTATAAAACAGGGATATAAAAGGTACTCTATATATCTGTGAGAGGAATATGGTAGGTAAAAAAAAAAAAAAATCCTGCAAATTGCAAAATCCTAAACAATGAAAACTATTATTCATAGGCAGTTAATTCTGGGCAGAGGACATCCTCTTTTTTGGCTTTCTTTAAAACAAGAATAATCATTTGGTGAATAAAAATTACCTTTTTCAAGGAGTTATTTAAAAGATCATGAAACCTCAGTGCCAGATTTCTTAAGAGGCAGAATCCCTAAATCGATCATTTAAACTAACATGATGACAATGATTATTTCAGTTACACTGAACTGTTTGAAAAGTACATAGAGACCTCTGCCTCCACCTGTAAGTAGCTTATAGCACACCTCTGCTTCCGAGAACTAGAAAAGCAGATTACACACACACACACACACACACACACTAGTGGTCAGGAGAGAGCTGCCAAGGTAGCCAAGAATTCCATGTTTTTGCTGATTATTGATAATAAAGAGGCTGAGAAGCCAAAGGGAAGGCAAGGAAGGATGCCAGGAGAGCTTCACGTGATCGCACAGAACTAGGAAGACAAAGAATAGTGTTTGGAGCTGGCAAGGCAGCCAGGAATTGGGAGCCCAAGATCCCAGGAAGCAAGAGAAATAAACCCCACACTCAGCACTGACTCTTCACTCAAGGCATTTACTCAATAAGATGTTAGGGCAAGAGGCTAATTTTCCAAGCAAAGAGTAGCTGAAAGCAGAGTAAATCGCAAAATAAGAAATACCCCCGGTGTCAGTTGGTACCCCCGAAAAACTACTTTTTTAGTAATGGGGAGAAACTGGAAGATGGAGTCTTATAAAGACTGCAAGCCAGCCTTGAATCCACTCGGTCCTGCTTATAGTCAGGTGATCTTCCCTCTGCTGCCTGCCAGAGTACCTTCCGGAATCCTCTGCAGAGGAAGATCCACAACATCTACAATTCTTTATACACAATGTCCAGCATTCACTCCGAGTTTACTAATCATACCAAGAAACAGACAACAGAAACAAGCCCACAGGTAACCCAGATATTGGAATTGTTTAACACAGACTTTAAAGTAACTGTGATGAAGATATTCAAAGAATAGATGACAAGAATTACACCAAAGAACTAGAATCTATAAAAATTAGTCAAGAAAATAGAACTGAAAGTACAATACATGAAATAAAGAACTCAACAGATGAGTTTAACAGCAACAGTAGAGAAAGCTGAAGAAAAGATTAGTAAGCTGAAAGATAATTTTATAGAAAAAGTATATATATGATGGTCATCATCCTACATCACACCCATGTATACCAACTCACTTTGAATAGTGATAAATTTGCTTTGCTGCTGCTGGTTTTAAACAGGCAACCTATTTTATAGGTAAAATTGCACCCTGAATTTCAAATTAAATTTGGGGGAAAAAGAAAGATTTGGGTTCAGGTCACACTTTCCTACTGGATGGGTGAATTTGGTAAAGATGGTAAGTATCTCCAAGCTTGTTTCTTCACTTGTAAAAGGATATGCCTTGGTCAGAGGATTTACAGAAAAAAAGGATAAATACCAAAATGTTCTATAAATACCATATTTGCAGCATAAGCTGTATATCCATTTTTCCTTTTCCTGGGTACATAGTCCAGGTAGAGATTACATTTCTGAGTATTTCTGAAGAATACTGGATAGTCGATTCAATTCAACAGAATAAGTGATTTTTAACAAATGACATTGTGGGGGCGCCTGGGTGGCTCAGTCGTTAAGCGTCTGCCTTCAGCTCAGGTCATGATCCCAGAGTCCTGGGATCGAGCTCCGCATCAGGCTCCCGGCTCAGCGGGAAGCCTGCTTCTCCCTCTCCCACTCCCCCTGCTGTGTTCCTGCTCTCACTGTCTCTGTCTCTGTCAAATAAATAAATAAAATCTTAAAAAAAAAAAATGTCATTTTTTTTTTGCCAGGGCTTTGGTTCTTTCCTCTTCCAGCAGGTTGAAATGCAGATATAGCAGTGACCAAGACCATTCAAGCAAGACAGCAGCCTAGGAGATGGCTGAACCTGGGACCCTGAATGACCTCATGGTGGACAGCCACCTAACCAGCTCAGATTGGCCAGCCTGTTGAGGAGGAGATAAATAATGATCCAGCTTGTGTAGGCCATTGTATATGAAGATCTCTTTGCTACAGCAGCTTAGCCTTCTCCCCAACTAGTGTAGTGCAAAACAAATGTAAATTATCTATGAAAGGCAACAAAATTAAATTTTAACAAAAGTACTACTTACATATATGCAGAAAACTCCCAATTATAAGTAGCTTTGAGAAATGAGAATAATATGAAAATATGCAGAAAACTCCCAATTATAAGTAGCTTTGAGAAATGAGAATAATGTGAAAAAGTTAATGTCTCCCTACTCCATCCTCTCAAGAAAAGTGTTCTGCTTCAAATACCTCCAGAGAGAAGACGCATTAAACAAAGATCTGAGTTTATTTACATGGAAGTCATTGTCAACTCTAGAAGAAAGCTGCTGGAGAAGAGTGGAAGAATCAGAGGAGATATTTCTAATTAGGAAAGAATAAATAAAAAGCAAGGAAAAGCGCAGCTGTAGACCAACTATCTGAGAAGTAGGGCAGAAAAGTAAATATAAATGAAAGCCTTAAAAAAAGCGTCCAGTAGTCAGTACAAGGCTGTTGAAAGTTATCTGTATTTAGTATTCATTGGGGTAAAGATTTTCAATTATTTGAAGGCGGAGGGAAGAAAATCAGTAAAGACGGAAATACCAAAGATGTCAGAAAAGATACAGACTTGGGTAGACAGTACCTCTGAAGGCCAAAGAACCCAGGCTCCAGGTAGTGGACGATGCCCGCCTCAGACTGTTCACAACTGTAAGCAATCAGAACTCAGGGAGCTGCTGTTGTGAGAGCAGCGGCCGAGTAATAATAAACTAACCTAGGCTAGGCCACTCAGAAGGAACGTCTCTGTTAACGATAACCAACCCCTGGAAGCCGCTCTTAACGGAGGCCCGCCTACACCGGTTCAACCACAGCCCTGAGCCCCCACAGCCATTTACACAGAACAGCTCGTGACAACCAAAGTATTTTAAAAGACAAACATCACAGTACAGAGGTTCCGTATTTGGTTAATGCTCACAGGGGAAATCACGCACCCCATCTAGGTTTCCTAATTATCTTGCTATAATTGCAGCAGACATACTCTTCAAAGTATGTTGTAGCAGTGAGGTTCCCTCTTGCTTTAAGTGGACCCTGAGGAAAAATGGGAAGCAGTTGGGGGTGGGGGGAACAGGACTTCACATAGGTGTGGGAAACGGCCGCTGTTATGGAATTAAGAAATACAGATATATTCCTTCTCATCTGGGTTGGAAAGTCAAAGAGAATGCTGATTGACAGTGACTACTGATCAACAGAAATCCTTTCTCCCGGGCGCCTGGGTGGCTCAGTCGTTACG